GGCAAGGACAAAGCCGAGTCAGCACCAGCTGACACATGTTAGCGAGTCGGCATTAGTCGACACAGGCCGGGCTCCCCTAATGGGCATAGTCCGGGCGAGGCGCAGATTCGCATATCGGACTTATCCTTATCTCTCTCTCTCTCAGTCTCTCAAGTGTGTAAATATATATATATATATATACATATATATATATGCATACATATATATATATGCATTTTTTTTAAAAATATATACAGCCGTTCATTCCACTGCAGGACATAGGCCTCTCCCTATTCACTATTAACCCAATGGTGCCGGGGAAAATGAACAAAAAATAGAGAAAATCCTGTGCCCACTTTCTGTTTTTCGTGAAATGTCTTCCGATAGATGGCTCTGCTAGCGCCTGATTTGAAATGGCGGGAGAAACTTATTTTTCACTAATGCTATGAAAATCGATGGTGGTATTTTTATCATAAACATTATAATTTTTATAATGTTTTTGAACATTAGTAACAGCAAAATAAGATTAGGTAAAATATTTTGTAAATCAAAGAAACGGGTAAACGGGCGAGACGGGCGGTACTCGTACTTGGCTCATTGGTGATTTAGTACAAGTGTTGCCATCTGTGCGTAAAAACAATCAAACAAGTACTCACGGTGGGCATAGCACATACGTACACGTCATACCCGGCTCCAATGGGTTAAGAGGTTATATGGCAGTGTCTCCCTTGCCTGATGCCCTTCCTAATCAACCATGGTTCGGCGCGCTAACACTTATGCCACGGCGGCGACTTCCCCTACGACACCTGCGTCTGACTTCTCAAGGCGATATGTCGTTTTCTCGGGCTCGAGCCAGCAGACAGAGCGCAGGTATTTTTACGACTGCCGCGACGAGGGTTCCACGAGGGTCGGAATCCAGTGCTCTAACCACTGGACCATTGCGGCAGTATTTGTGTGTGTATATATATTATCAAAGTAACGTTAATCAATTAATACATAATTAGTAAAAATGCTACTGTTAACTACGGTAACTAGGCAGTTCCTGTAGTAGCGTTCGTGACCCCCCCCCCCCCTCAATCATCCTTGTATTTGAAAAAAGGGCATTTTGCTTTAAGTTAAGGAAAAGGAAGCTTTTCCCTCCCTTATAAACTAATGCTTTTTACTTGTCATTAAGAAAATATTGCTTCGGTTTCGGCTATTTCCCCTTTAGGACTGTGATTTTCAATCCTTTCTCTATAACTCGACTATATGTTGCTCGTCATATACCCCTTTACTGCCATGTAAAAACAAAAATACCTAATTGAGGCGTAGAACAAGAAAAAGAAAGTACCCTTTATTTTTTATATGCTGCAAAGAATGTTTTGATTAGGAAAAGTAATATATAATTGTTGATAACTCAGTTTAAGAAAAGATAAAAAAAAAAAAAAGTGCATCAAATATTATTAGTTGGAAATTCGCATGCGGTCTGCTAAGATCCTTCGCATCGAGGGTGTCATGTATATTTTCTTACTCTCTAGGGTAAAAATATTCTTGGTCAAAAAATCCCTCCTTTAGGCGAATTTGCCTTTGTCTTTATCTAATACACGTACAATTGCAAAGGCTGTATAACACGGGGTGCAAACGAGTTATATTATTTTACCTATTTATGTCTTATAAAAGTCCCTTGGTCTTGATAAAGAGCCTGTTGCTAAAGGGGAACAATTAATCAAATCAAAGCCTTCCTTGCTACACTTATGCCACGGCGGCGACTTCCCCTACGACACCTGCGTCTGACTTCTCAAGGCGATATGTCGTTTTCTCGGGCTCGAGCCAGCAGACAGAGCGCAGGTATTTTTACGACTGCCGCGACGAGGGTTCCACGAGGGTCGGAATCCAGTGCTCTAACCACTGGACCATTGCGGCAGTATTTGTGTGTGTATATATATATATACATAGATAGATAGATACGTATAAGCAAATATATATGTATATATATATATGTATATATATGCATACATATATATATATATATACATATGCATACATATATATATATATATCTATATATAAATACGTATCTCTCTCTATCTATCAGTCTCTCTCTCTCTCTCTCTCTCTATATATATATATATCATATATCATTTATATATGTATATATATACATATATATGTATATATGTATATATTATATATAATCTCTCTCTCTCTCTCTATATATATATATATTATATATACATTTATATATATATATATATATTGTTTGTTTGTTGCTAGCGCTCTCTCTCTTTCTCTCTATATATATATATTATATATAATCTCTCTCTCTCTCTATATATATATATATATGTGTGTGTATATATTATCAAAGTAACGTTAATCAATTAATACATAATTAGTAAAAATGCTACTGTTAACTACGGTAACTAGGCAGTTCCTGTAGTAGCGTTCGTGACCCCCCCCCCCCCTCAATCATCCTTGTATTTGAAAAAAGGGCATTTTGCTTTAAGTTAAGGAAAAGGAAGCTTTTCCCTCCCTTATAAACTAATGCTTTTTACTTGTCATTAAGAAAATATTGCTTCGGTTTCGGCTATTTCCCCTTTAGGACTGTGATTTTCAATCCTTTCTCTATAACTCGACTATATGTTGCTCGTCATATACCCCTTTACTGCCATGTAAAAACAAAAATACCTAATTGAGGCGTAGAACAAGAAAAAGAAAGTACCCTTTATTTTTTATATGCTGCAAAGAAATATAAATTTGTTGATAACTCTAGTTAAGAAAAAGATAAAAAAAAAAAGTGCATCAAATATTAGTAGTTGGAAATTGCATGCGTTCTGCTAAGATCCTTAGCATCGAGGGTGTCATGATAATTTTCTTACTCTTAGGGTAAAAATATTCTTGGTCAAAAAGAGATCCCTCCTTTAGGCGAATTTGCCTTTGTCTTATCTTAATACAGTCAATGGCAAAGGCTGTATAACACGGGGTGCAAACGAGTTCTATTATTGTACCTATTTATGTCTTATTAAAGTCCTTGGTCTTGATAAAAGAGCCTGTTGCTAAAGGGTGACAAGTAATCAAATCAAAAGCCTTTCTTGTATTACCTTGTGGTTTTGATGTTGAAATATAAAAATAGTTTATTAGGGTCTTAACCTGTTTTCCTACTACAGCAACTAGTGACATAGTGAAGAATTATAGGCAAAAAGATGTTAAGATATATATTTTCTCCATTTGGCATGATTTTGTATGAAGTTATCCAGAAAATATGGAAGAGGTCGAGTATCAAGTTTTATTCAGTGTCAACGAATACATTTTTTCTCTCTTTGTATAGGGAGAGAATATATGCATGTAATATTTTTTTTTCTTCACTTGGCATGATTGTTAATTAAGTTATCTAGAAAATAGTGAAGAGGTCGAGTATAAAGTTTTATTCAGTGTCAACGTAAAAAAATATTTCACTCTTTGTATAGGGAGATTTGAGAAAATATATGCATGTATTGCTTAAAAAGTGGTGCCTGAATTCGCGTTTCCCGATAAAGTAAATCACCGTAGTCCGACGGCGAGGTGATCGTCTCTTAAAGACAACAACTTATCTAGTTCCATCTCTTGCTGCATATTTGTAGAAACACAATGACGGGGAAATCGAGAAGTAAAGTTTGGTTGAATTATGCCCGTCGGCATGGTTTATTTGTGTCCTTTTACAATATTTTTAACGTTCTTGTAGGAGACAAAAAAACATATTTGCTACAATAACCGCCATTATTGGTTACCGTTGCACAGAACTGCGTGTATACTTGTAGGGAGGTACTTTAGACAATTTCGTCTTTTTCTTATATCATCATAAAACGGAGGATCCCTAATCTATGTTTACCCTGGTATTTTTATATCAGAAACACTACTTTGGTGTGTAAGGATACACCCGTCTGCATAGAGTTATACATATGGGCCTTAAGAGAAAGCTGAACATATTCCCTAGTTTGCATTGTAGACTGTAACAAAATGGAGAGATGAGGTAGGAACACTTTTTGGAAAGGCATTGCACTGCCTCTTAGTTTAATTAGCAAAATATAACTGGTTCGACAGGTGGGGACAGTCGGTGGCCCTAGCTGTTCAGGCGAAAATATGAGGGGAAACCCTCCTATGGCCTCGCGCAGAATGCTCTCTAAACAAAATAAAACCGGCGATTTTTCAATCTGTAAGACATTTTCAAACGTACGAGATAGCGGTTATCACAATTACATTTGCACAGAAAATTTAAGCCTGTTATTTTTATTTTATTTGTGTTATCACCTGTTGGGATGCGTGTTTGTGAGTCATAATAAAGGCATATTGAGTACAGCAAGAGTTTCATGATCCTTTTCACTGAATAGTATCTTTATTATGAAGATGCCTTTGGGATGTAAGCCAGCTTATCAATCATCCCGCGAAGTTAAGAAATTTCTATTGTTATTCTTACTAGAGTTGCATCTTTGTTATATTATCTTTAACCTGATGTATAAGCCTGCAATTTTCAAATGTACGAGATGGTAGTTATCGCATTTACATTTACACAGAAAATTTAAGCCTGTTATTTTTATATATATATATAGGTTGTGTGTGTGTGTGTGAGTGTATATATATATATATGAATATATAGGTTGTGTGTGTGTGTGTGTGTGAGTGTATATATATATATGTATATATATGTATATATATACATATATGTGTGTGTGTGTGTATATATCTATATACATATATATGTATATATATGCATACATATATATATATTATTTTTTCTCTGAATTATACACTAATAACTGAGATACTTTATCATGGAATTATTCTATATCACGGGTTAATAATTAACCTAATGTTTGTTCGCGTCGCAGCTGAAGTGAGTCTCTGGTGTGGGCGGGGGCTGTTGGGGTTGGATGGAGAGGGTGTGTGCTCGTGGTCATTGGTTACGTCAGTGACTTACGGTGGTAATTAACCTGCTCTGATTTCCAGTTCCGATCATCCCTTAAATTATGTCTACTTTCTCTTAAGTATGATCGTAAGGTGTACATGTTTCTTATGTGAAGGTAGGTTAATGATTTCCGGTTATTGATTACGTCATGGTCATTGGTTGTGGTCATGATCATTAGTCAAGGTCTGTGGTTACGTCAAGGTCATTGGTCAAGGTCAGTGGTTACGTCATGGTCACTGACCTACTTTCATCCTCATGTACGTGAGTGAGTAGCTCCGTCCTTCCATACACTACTATATATGTGTGTGTATATATGTGTGTGTATATATGTGTGTGTATATATATATATATGATATATATATATATATATGTGTGTGTGTGTGTGAGTGTATATATATATATATACACACACAAATATATATATATATGTGTGTGTGTGTGCGTGTGTGTGTGTGTGTATATATATATATATACATATATGTGTGTGTGTGTGTGTGTGTACATACATATGTACATATATATAAACATTTAGATAGATAAAGAGATAGATACGTATGAATATATATATATATGCATACATATAAACACACACACACATATATATATGTATATATATACATATATATATATATAGGTTGTGTGTGTGTGGTGTGTATATATATATATGTGTGTGTATATATATATATGTGTGTGTGTGTGTGTATATATATATATCTATATATAAATACGTATCTCTCTCTATCTATCAGTCTCTCTCTCTCTCTAAATATATATATATATGTATGTATATATATGCATACATATAAACACACACACACACACACACACACATATATATATATATATGTGTGTGTATATATCTATATAATATATATATATATGTGTGTGTATATATCTATATACATATATATGTATATGAATATACATATATGTATGTGTGTGAGTGTATATATATATATATATGTATGTATACATATAAACACACACACACATATATACATATGCATACATATACCTACACATACCTCCCCTCACAGACACATACACACACACACACATATATATATATATTATATATACATTTATATATATATATAGGTTGTGTGTGTGTGGTGTGTGTGTGTATATATATATATCTATATATAAATACGTATCTCTCTCTATCTATCTGTCTATCTATCTATCTATATATATGTATATATATACATATATGTGTGTGTGTGTGTATATATATATATATTATTTTTTCTCTGAATTATACACTAATAACTGAGATACTTATCATGGAATTATTCTATATCACGGGTTAATAATTAACCTAATGTTTGTTCGCGTCGCAGCTGAAGTGAGTCTCTGGTGTGGGCGGGGGCTGTTGGGGTTGGATGGGGAGGGTGTGTGCTCGTGGTCATTGGTTACGTCAGTGACTTACGGTGGTAATTAACCTGCTCTGATTTCCAGTTCCGATCATCCCTTAAATTATGTCTACTTTCTCTTAAGTATGATCGTAAGGTATACATGTTTGTTATGTGAAGGTAGGTTAATGATTTCCGGTTATTGATTACGTCATGGTCATTAGTCAAGGTCTGTGGTTACGTCATGGTCATTGGTCAAGGTCAGTGGTTACGTCATGGTCACTGACCTACTTTCATCCTCATGTACGTGAGTGAGTAGTTCCGTCCTTCCATACACTACTTATATATGTGTGTGTATATATATATATATGAATATATAGGTTGTGTGTGTGTGGTGTGTATATATATATATATATATGCATACATATATATATATATATATGTGTGTGTGTGTGTACATACATATGTACATATATATAAACATTTAGATAGATAAAGAGATAGATACGTATGAATATATATATATATACATGGACATACACACACACACACATATATACATATGCATACATATATATATATATTTTTTTTTTTTTTAACTCCTTGAAGGGTGAGACAGAAAGAGAGGCTGAGGATCAGAGTACAGTACAAGTCAGACTGAGGAAGTGAATCCAGTTTCAGAGGTGGTCGAGCAAATAGATCTGCAGAGAGAAGTAGAAGAAATTGAGTCAGAGGCAGGAGATGAACAAGCAGGCCATGAGGAAGAAAAGGATCAAGACAGGTTTGGTACACAGAAAAGGGCATTTCACCACAGCTAGTTTGCTAAGTACACTTGGTTGGAGTATTCAGTCAACCTCAACACTGCTTTCTGCTTCCCATGTAGAGTGTTTGGCAAAAACATTAAACATGATGCTTTGGTTAGCAGTGGTTGTAGAAATTGGAAAAAAGCTTTGTCTGTCTTTAGTAAGCACGACATGACACAGTCCCATAAGGACAGTGTTGTTGCATGGAGGGGCTATCAGGCAACGAGCCAACAGGGAGATGTTGTTCAGATGATGATGTCTGCAAATGCACATGAGATAGTGGCGAGAAGGGACTCTGAAGCGAATTGTTGCAGTCACCTCAATGTTTGAGATCCAGGGACTACCCTTTCGTGGGCATGATGAAAATGCAGCGAGCACAAACAGAGGTAACTTTCTGGCTGGCATGGAGCTTTTGATGACATTTGATCCATTCCTTCAAAATCACAGTCCTCCATCAAATGCCACGTACACCTCACCAGTGTCTCAGAATGATTGAGTGTTTTGCTCAGGAAGTGACCAGTGTCATTGTGTCTGAGATCACACGCTCCAAAATGCATTCCATCATGGCGGATGAGGCAAGAAATTGTCGGTCAGAGCAGCTGGCTGTTTTAGGTATGTGTCAGAGGGGGAGGTAAAGGAACGGTTTCTAGCACTTTCAGAACTGATGTCCTTTGATGCCCAGTCCATTGCAGACAAGCTACAGGAGCAGCTCCAGACCAATGGCCTTGCTCATGTCAAGTGTGTGGCACAGACTTATGATGGTGCCGCGGTCATGAGTGGACCCACAGGAGGCGTGCAGGCACGTTTTAGAAGGCTTCATCCTGAAGCTATCTATATACACTGCTATGCACATGAGCTCAACCTAGTGTTGTGCCACACTAGCAAGGCTGTTACGGAGGCTGTGGAGCTATTTGCTTTGTTGGAGAGTGTGTATTCTTTTTTCACCACCTCTCTAGTGAATCACCATAAGTTCAAAGATGCTCAGTCCAGGCTTGGGTTGGCAGCAGTAGAGCTTGTGCAACTTTCCAACACTCGTTGGGCATGTCGGCTGCAATCAATCAATGCAGTGCTTCAGACCTTACCTGCCATGTTTGAATGCCTCTGTCACTGGGTCTCCCTTGGCTATTGGAATCAAAGCAAAGCTATCAGTGTTCTCAACCATCTATGCTCTCTTGATGTTTCAGACACTTCTGTCCATTACTGAAGGACTCCACAAACTCCTTCAGAAGGAAACATTAGACCTGGCAGAAGCTCTGATTTGCAAAGATGCTGTGTGTGATACTCTCAAAGGTAAACGCACAGATGCATTTGCCACCGAAATGTTTGACTACAACCCTTCTGGGCTAAGCCCCCCCTATCTCACAATCCTAGTGACGCCCCTGTTTTTCAGTGAATTGTATCTTTATTATGAAGATGCCTTTGGGATGTAAGAACGACTAGTAAAACAGTTAAAATATGAGAGGAGCTCGCAAGCCTATCAATCATTCCCGCGAAGTTAAGAAATTTCTGTTGAGTTATTCTCATTAGGGCTGCACCTTTGTTGTATTATGCATTTGTAAACATTTGTAAAGATATTGATTATAGTCTTTGCAAGTATTTTTTTTTTTTTTTTTACATATACATATGGAGTGAGAAATGGATATTGTCAGATGCATACATTTTTGTCTTATATTTACGTAATGCGAACACTATCAATCTTAGTAAGGGTTAAAATGAATTTCCTTTTCTTGATCGGTTACACCTCAAGACTGCACCGCCACCTTCATTACCTCTGAGCAAGAAGAGATGGTCGTATTATCATCGTCGTTATATGGAACTCGGGCGATAGGATTTGTATTTGTGTCTGTTTGTTGGTACTACATTAATAAAGGCATATTGAGTACAGCAACGAATTTTATAATCCTTTTGATTGCAATCAATTCTTAATATTGGGATGCTTTGGCGATTTAAGATAAACGAGGTGTCAAGGCATGCTGGAAAGCTAAATATAATTATCGGATCAATACCCACGATCCCTTTTAGATCAATACCCTTGACCGTATCGCATCCGGAGAGCAGCTAAGAATATCTAATTTACCCCCTTTCGGTGGCTCGTGAGTGGGCACGCTATGTCTGAGAATGCGGATCGGGGGCAGTAGGAAGGGAAGGGGGGGATCCTTCTTCTCAGACTTTGCGTATGTCAGCAGCTGGATGCATTTTTGTGTGTTTGTGTGCTTCTTCTTCCTCTTTTTCTTATTCTTATTATTACTTTGGGGAAGAGGGGAAGGGGGGGGGAGACACCCTTCAGGTGAGCGTGTTAGGCATCATTAGGGGGACATTTATGGATTATGATGAATTAGGAGGGGTGATCACTCGTCTGTAACAGGATAAATTATCGATTCAGTTACAAGTTCAAACATGGTGAATATTGCGGTGGGAGGGGGAGGGAATGGGGCGAGCTAGTACATCCATCGATCTTTTGTGCTGTTTGTTTGTTTTGCGTCTTCTTCCTCTACCATTACTGCTTCGTAGCCGGATATGAGGGAATGGATTGGGGGCCGTAGGAAGGGAAGGAGGGATTCCCTGTTCTCGGACTTTGCGTATGTCAGCAGCTGGATGCATGTTTGTTTGTGTGCTTCTTCTTCCTCTTATTCTTATTCTTGTTATTGCTTTGGAGAGGAGGGGAAGGGGGAGTGACACCCTTTAGGTGAGCGTGTTAGACATTATTAGAGGGCATACATCGAAATTTATATTATTTTTTCTCTGAATTATACACTAATAACTGAGATACTTATCATGGAATTATTCTATATCACGGGTTAATAATTAAGCTAATGTTTGTTCGCGTCGCAGCTGAAGTGAGTCTCTGGTGTGGGCGGGGGCTGTTGGGGTTGGATGGAGAGGGTGTGTGCTCGTGGTCATTGGTTACGTCAGTGACTTACGGTGGTAATTAACCTGCTCTGATT